TACTCTTCAGAATATTCTGAAGAGTAGAGGGAACCCCGGCCTCCACGAAGGATTGGTAGATGGAGGCGTGGGGGACCGAGCCGAACGCGTTCGACAGGTCCAGCCACGCCACCACCACCTCGTACGGCAGGAAACCCTTTTGCGCAGAACTTACGCGCTTATTTTTGACCGACCACGCGACGAGACGCTCAGCCAGAACAGCGGCGAAGAGTTTCGGGGTCGTATCGGACATGGCCAGCGGTCGCCAGTTTTGTCAGGTCATCGCGATCGCCCTTTTTGTGCACGAGCACAGTGTTGGAAGTTTTCCAATACGAGGGGACCGACTCCAGACGAAGACACAGATTAAACAAAGAGGTCAGCAAATGTGACCCCGGATCTGCCCTTTTCAGATCATTGTAAGTTAGACCGTCGGGACCGGGCGCAGAGTTTGTCATACGCCTGATCCGACGATCTACCTCACTCACTTCGAAGGGCTTCACCAAGGCCACATTGCTGGCCTCGTCTGGAGCCTCGATGGAAGGCGGGGGAGGCCTAGCTCCCAGGTTCCTCGCCGGTGAGTACATGTTCAGGAAGTACTCATGTACCCTGTCCTTAGGCACTTTGCAGTGCAAGGACGGGCCCATGAGCACCTCCTGAACAGCACGCCGACGGTTCTGCCTGAAGAGCCGTTGTATACGCGTAGCCTCCCTTACCTGGTCCCCCCGCGTTGGTCCGCCTGCCAACACAGGACGATCGCGGTGACCGTTCGAACCGCGAGCCGCTTGGTCGTCCGACACGCCCCTAGCTCTCGCACGCTGTTGGGGCCTATCCGTCCCGCCCCCTCTCGTGGTCGGTCCCACGACTCTGAAGGCCTGAAGGTATGCTGCGATTTCCCTCGCAACATCCTCCAGCTGCTCCAGGGAGCCAGCGTTCTGCGCCATGCCGATCAGCAACTCTCTCTCCGAAGGAAGCGCTTCCCCGACCAAAGGCCGGATGTCGCCCCTTCTTCGAGAGGGCTGCCTGGATGCCGCAGGACGCCTGGGCTCACGAGGTCCCGAGGCACGCGAGGGTGCGGTCGGTCTGCGACTTCTCGCAGGTGCGTTCGCCTCCGTCGCGGAGGCAGGAGCACCCCTCACGGTTGCATCAACGGGGACGGGCCTCCGATTATCCCTCCCCGCGCGATTATAATCTACCCCTTCCCGCAAATTAAAAATGGAGCCGGGGGCACTACGTGGGACGCTCGGGAGTCGCGAAGGGCTAAACGGTGTTATTCTACTCACCGAGGACGCCCCGGAGCACCCTGCTCCAGGCCGATGCGCGTTATTCTGCGCTGCGCTGTTGTTATTGTTGCTGTTGCTGCTGCTGCCCGGTGGCGGCCGGGCAAGGGACTTATCCCGCGGTGGTTGGGCGGGCGGAGGCGTCGTCCTCTTCGCTGGCGGCAGCGGCTGCGCCTCCTCGTCGGACGACGAGCTTGACGACGGGATCCCGCGGTGGTGGCGTCGGCGGGATCCAGCGGCGATACGCCACGGCTCTGGTGAAGAATCGGGGCTAACGGCTGCCCCGGCCGGCTGCGGCACCTCCACCTCTTCGATGGTCGGGAGGAGCGGGGCCGCTGGAGATGGTGGTAGCGGCCTGGCCACCATCGCTTCTCCCACAATAGGCAGGGGGCTCATTATCGGCCCCCCGCTGCAGGTGGCGGTAACGGTGGAGGTGCACAACGTCACCATACTCGCCGACGTTACCAGAGACGGAGCCCCCTGCTCGCCGCGGATGGTCGGCGGCGTCCTGGGGCTCCGGTGCTTCCTTGGTGGGGGGCTGCGTTTTGGTGGTGGTGGTGATGGCCCGGGCGGTGTGGGGATGGCCCGGGTTGCTGTACGCAGCCCCCTTTCCGGCGCGACGTCTATCGGCGAGGGAGGTGACGTGTGGGAAGGGGCGCCCGCTGTGACGGCGGCGTACGATGGCGAAGCCGCCGTCCTTACCCCCGAGGGTTTCTTTTGGACGGCCCGAGGTGGTGATGGGCCGCTGGAGGGACTCTTCCTTCCCTCCACCGCCCTGGGTGATGGTGTGTGGGCGGTGGGAGTCCCTCCTGCTCTCGGGGGCGTTCTTCTGGCTCCGGTCGGAGCCGCTACCGTCCTCCGGGTGGTGTTGGTGGCAGTTCTTCTGCCCACCTCCACCGGGACTCTGGCACCCCTCATACCCCGTGTCACCCGCCTTTGGGTGGTGGTAGGCGGGGTCTTAACGGGCGGGGTTCTTGCGGGAGGGGTGCCATTCGACCCCCTGGTAGCGGGGGCCGCTCTTCTGCCCGGTGGGGTGGGCCTCGATGTGGTAGCGGCTAAGGGACCGGAGCCTCTCCTGGTAGCAGGCGCCCTTGCAGCCGGCGGCGATGTCCTAGGGGCAGCCGACCCCGATCGCCGCGGCGGGCTGCCGCTCTTCTGGACCGGTGGTGTCTCCTTGGGTTTGGGGTAGGTTGGTTGTGTGGGGGGCGGGGGCGCGGGCCGGGCACTGGTGGTGGGCCCGATAGTTATTGTTAACGTTGGGGTGCCGGACGGCGGCGTGCGATACGACGTCGTCATAGCCGTCGCAGCCGCCGTTACCAGCACCCCACGCAACGTTGTTTGCTTCGTGGCCCGCGTCTTGCCCCCCGTCGCCACCGGTCTCGTGGTCGTCGTCTTCGTCGTCGTCCTCATAGTCCTCGTTGTTGACCCCGTTGTTGTTGCCGCTGCCGCCATTGCGCGCCGCGTCGTGTAGGTGGTGGTGGCCGTCCCCGTAGAATCCCTCGCCGTTGTAAGGGTGTGGGCGGGCGGCGACGTCGCGGCGCACGTCGAATGCGGGGGCGGGGACTGGGCCGCCAAATTGGCAGCAGCTAACGCAGCAGCGCGCGGTTCTGCGGGGGCGAATAGCGCGGAACTCCCCCGACGCGAGGTGTTGCTCGGACCGGTCGAACCCGTCACGGGAGGTGCACAAGTCCCACTCGGACTGTTCTGATGGTCGGAACTGTGAGTATGACCGTGGTGCAGCTTCACCACCTTGAGAAGCCGCACTCACGGCACTTATATGTCACTACAACGCCCGGATGGTGCTTCCGGGCGTGCTTCGTCAAGTCCGAGTGGGACTTGTACACGCCACTAATCCTAATTCCGGGGACACCGAAGCAGGCAGGGCATCGGAACTCCGCCGGGAAGGGAAACT